TGACCTCTCGAGGTCCCTTCCAGTCCTAGAATCTATGAATCTATGAATTAAGGGGGAGGGACAGCTCAGTGGTTTGAGCATTGGCCTCAGGGTTGTGAGTTCAATCCTTGAGGGGGCCATTTAGGGATCTGGGGCAAAATCAGTATTTGGTCCTGCTAGTGAAGGCAGGGGGCTGGACTCGATGACCTTTCAGGGTCCCTTCCAGTTCTATGATATATATATCATATGGAGATATACCTATTATACCTTTTAGTAGCTCCATCTAGGCTCTATTTCCCTAGTTTGTTTAGGAGAAAGTCATGCAAGACAGTATCCAAAGTTAAGATATAGCAGACTTCTGTCTCGCCGACAAAGATGTGATCCAGTGACTGGAAATTGAAGCTAGACAAATTCAGACTAGAAATAAGGCGTACATTTTTAACAATGAAAGTAATTAACCACTGGAACAATTTACCTATGGTGGATTCTCCATAGCTGGCAATTTTTAAACCAAGATTTTTTTTTATTTTTTTTATTTAAAGATAAGCTCTAATTCAAAAGGGATTCTTCTGGGAAAGTCCTTTGGCCTGTGTTATACAGGAGATCAGACTAAATGACCACAACCATCCCACCTGGACCTGGAATCTATGACTCTATAACACTATATTCTGAACTTGTGGTATGGCTGCCCAAAGAACAAGCAGTGTATTTCCGGTTGGCAATGCAGGGATTATATATTTCAACTTAGTTTATAAAAGATATTCTGTGTCTTAAAACAAATAATGGATATTTAGTTCTGAGTGGTCCCTGGCCAAGATTTTCAAAACTAGGACCCCCTGAAGTTAGTCCCATAAATCCTTAGGCACCTGATTTTAAGTACTGACCACCCAGGAGATTCCATGGGGATCCAGGGTGATTGCCAGAGAACGGATACTAGACAAGACAGACCACTAGTCTGATTTGGTAACTGCGGTGTTCCTATTTTCAGAAAGTCATATGCATGTGCAAATCTAGTATTTGTATGCACAATGCTAGTTATTTGCTCACACAGTCACTTGGGCGCACACACCACAGGTGTTCTGTGTTTGGCAGAAATGGGGGTCAGGCTAAGACCCCTTGAAAGATTCCACTCTGAAAAGTGACCAATGTACAATTCCACATTTACCCTCCCACCAACTCCAAAGCACGTATGCTCAGTTTACATACAGAAAGAATGGTTCTCTAACTGCTCTGCAAATTCAGCCTGGGATCTGAGACTTAAGCAGGCTTCTCTCCGACATGTGTAACCACCAGTAATAAGTTCTGCAGGCAAAATGCTGCCCTCAGGTACCTTGCTGCCTTCAGTAGGCTGGTTTAGGAGTAACTGAGCATCATGTAAAGACAATGGAGCTAATAAAGGGCTCCACAATTGGAACTAATTAAAAATCCAGTCGTTGCTTGAGCCGAAAGGGAGCCAGCTCTGGACCCCAGTGCAGCACTAGTTCTACAAGCCTGAAGCAGCATTGCTTTTTTCACCAAAGTACACAGAAAACAGTGCAGCTCAGTGTGACTGGAGCCCCCTGCTAGCCTGTTTTATGGAAAGGATCCCACCTACTCCAGACTTCACAGACATCCTGACAGCAGTAACGAATTCATCACTTTGGTTTATTTCAGCAACAAGCAGTGATTTATCCAGTATATGACAAGTACAAAAATGGCATCAATTCTTGGCAGTGGTAAATTCCTAATGAACAACTGGAGCTAATGCAGCTGGGATTATCTGGGACGCAGTGTGGTCTCCACATGCTAACTGAATCGGATAACTCGACAGCACACTGCAGGGCCTCTACTCCAATCCTCTGTCCGCCAGAAAGAGGCCTTAATAGCTGGCACCAAGGAAGTCACGAGGAGAGAAAACACACTGGCTGACAGAGCTCCAAAGAGCTGTTCTGACCTTAAGGAACTGTTATTTGTCTTTGTAACACTTCAAAGGGACAGGGACGGAGAGGGCCAGGCCTTGTATCAGCCCATGGGAATGCAGTCCGACCACACAGCCTGTGTCCCCGTAAGCCACTCCCTGTTGCAACATCAGCACAAAGTCCTGCCACCTGCCCCTTTGCACATCGGCATGGTTATAGGAGCACTTTGCAAACTACACTCAGGGCTAGTCTACACTGGCAGCGCTTTAACGTGGCTTGTGTAGTCACGGCGCTAAAAAAACCACTTCCACGAGCGGCGTAGCTCCCAGCGCGGCTCCCAGCACTGGTGCAGTTTACACTGGCGCTTTACAGCGCTGAAACCTGCTGCGCTCAGGGGGTGTTTTTTCACACCCCTGAGTGAGAAAGTTGCAGCGCTGTAAATTGCCAGTGTAGACAAGTCCCCAGTTAAAACACTGAGAGCAAGTCATATCTATAGAGGAAAAAATCAAGCCATTTCTAATGGCTGCTGGTCTAAGGGATGGGCTGCAGCTTTGAGACCGGCCTCAGGTTCAGGATTCAAATGTAAACCTATCCAGCAGAGTACAGGAAGTTCCATCCAAGCCAGGGAATGGGACTCACTCCACCCTGGGTTTGTGACATGCCGTGGAGGGAATTAACACACCCTCTGTGCATGCAAGAATGGGAGCAGACCTGCTGGAGTTCGCTTCAGTCACTGAATCAGAGACTTTCAGGGTCCATTAGCCCTCAGAAAGGTTCCCTCACACACATGGAGGAGGCTGCATGCTCTGCCCTGCATTATGGACAGCAAAAGCTAAACCATCGCGAGAACCAGCTTCTCTTTTTTCTTCCTCTTCCTCCTCTTCTCCTCAAAACGGTCGGTTGCATCAGCAAAGAAAGTCACCTCGTCCTTGGCCTCAACCTCTCTCTTCAGGAACTGCAGCCCAGCCATATTGAAGCCCAGCACATTCTGCAGAGACAGATGGTCAGTGCATTTCTGGGTAAACCTTGACCTTGCTAGTGGCTGGGAGTCAGCATCCCCTAGGACCCCTGCTCCCTGGCCCAAATAGATACTAATGCTTTCACCATCTCCTGGTAAGATGCAGCCCCACAGATTTACACAGTGCAGCCTACAGCCAACTTCATCGACATAGAAGAATGGCCAGACCCCAGCCACCGCTCAAAACAAGAGGGAGCACTGCATTCTGGGAGTTGGAGTCTCTGTTCTCCACTTCTCTGTATTAAAAACAGGATTGGGGACTTCAACAGCAGAGTCCAGGGAAGGGGTAGGGACGGTTTTATGGCCTGCAGCATGCAGGGGGTCAGACCAGATGATCATAATGGTCCCTTCTGACCTTAAAGTCTATGAGTCTATAAAGAGGAGGGGAGCTACAACCCATTTTCTTAAAGTTAGTTAGCAATTAGCTGACTCAACCCCGGTAGGATACCACCTCCCCCACTCCAGGTTACTTGTGAATCACATCAGCCCACAGCAAAGGTGAAGACGGTTTCCCTTTCATGAGAGCTTTGAGTGTCCTGTGCACAAAGTATATTCATACTGGAGAGTCAAGTCTGAACAAACCACACAGCAAAATTAAAAGGGGATGGAGCCATTGTGTGTTATAGCCAGGAACCAGCCTGCTGCCCCCACATGCAGCAGAAACATGACAAAGGGCCAGGCTACTGGAAGGCTGGGAAGAGTCAGATGGGGACACTGGACTTAGCATTCCCTTTGAGACAAAAGCAATGCATTCTGTAACCATTAGTACAGTCGCTATGCCCGAGTCCGGGAAGGGGGTCGCTGCAGATACTCACCCTGACCTCACTGACTTTGGAAATGGTGGTTTTCTTCAGATTCTCTATCACTGTCACGAGCAGCTGATTGCTTGTGATGCGCCCAAAGTGTATCCTGAAGAGGCAGAGAGAGCGCCCCAGTTAGATGCAGCGTCCCTTGCAGAGTGACAGTCCGATAGGCCAAGGGACTTCAGTAGGAGGACAAAGTGAGGGCTTTTCTTAATTATGTTTCCATGGTGCAGATCCCACTGAGCTGGGCCCAGGAGACGGATCAGCGTGCAAACAAATGAGATCAATATTACAACAGAGGAGGACTGGAAAAGAAACGGGGGCTATTTCATAAAGTTTCTTTTTACAGCACAGCGGCTAAAGACCTAGGTGGCTGCTCTGGGTGAGCTGGATGTGAGATGGGCCATCAGCCCATGCTGGCAGGAGGGATGTCATTCCCAGCTTCATCAGCACTTCCAAGCTCTGAAATCTCAAACGCTGACACTATAGCTGGCAGTCCCATTTGGGCCATACTAGCCAGACCCATGTTCCCTGTCCTGACCCAGCCTGGCTGCGCACACAGTCCTGACAACAGCCCCGTCACAAACATTGTGGATGATGGGACCTTTCCTCCAAAATACAGGGGACACAAGACCAACTCTGCCAGGCAGGATTCTAGGGGCAGAAGAGAAAGCTCAAGCACATTCTCCACAGGCCCAAGTAAGATACACATCATCCTGCAGTACCTCACAGAGTCACCTAGTTACTCTGCATGCCCACATGTCCCTTCCCAGCATGGCAGGTGCCCAGGGAAAGTAATGCAGCCCCTGCTACACAAGGAGAAGGGACAATAGGCATTCAGGTGAGCACAGCTGGGGGAAGTGCTGGCTCATAGCCCAGGAGATTAAAGGCTCCTCACTAGCTACAGAGCAGGCAAGTAGCAGTGGGTCTCGCTGTCTACACACCACCCAGCTGGATTCAAACTAGTGAGTGAGGTGAGAGGACGAAGCAACCTTCCTGACTCACCTGAGCAGAAAGAGGAGCGCACGGCAGAGGAGTTCCACCTCCGAGCCCCACTGGACGTGCTCATTAAAGAGCACAAGCAGGTCAGGCACATACGAGAAGGGCAGCACCAGCAGAGACTCCTCCAGCTCACTGAGGAGAGAGTGCAGAGACAGGGATGACTGACAGCAGCCATGGACAAAACACACTGCACCAACAGTCGCTGCCCTGCTGCAGAATGGGCCCTGGACGAGGCAGGACATGCTGTGCAAAGCCGCTCAGCCCCTCACCGCGGAGGGAATGATTTTTATTCCCCACTTGCAGACACTCTACAGCTGCAGTGTGCACTCATTCCCAAAGAGGTGGCTTTCGTATTAGAATTACCCATGGAATACATGAAATGACTTCAAGTCTACCAGTGACATTCACACCAATCTTTCTTCCATTGCCCACCTCCAATGTCAGTGGCCAATCCAAAACTCCAACCAGAACCACGCTTCACTGCTCAATAGGAAGCCCTGCTCAGCAAAAAGCCTCATGAGACTCACCTTGACTTGACTTTCTTGAAAACTTCTAGCACATATGCTGAGGGCTGTAACAGAAGGAAACAGCATCAGCTTGGCATGTCAGGAAGTGCCCCAAGGGGAGCACTAGATCAGTGGTTTTCAAACTTTTTAGTCCCTTTCCACATAATGTAGTCTACCGCATACCCCCATCTGAGATAGGATCATAATATACCTACGATTAGATTACCAAGTCTTTCTTACAAGTCTTCATGGCATTATCCGCCATTACAGGCTTATTCTTCCATACCCCCGTGATGAGAGCTTGCGTACCCCAGTTTGAAAACCACTGCACTAGATTAAATGAATCTCAAAGCATGTTAGTTATAAAAACACAGGAACATGCTTTTAAGAGTTGTTAAATACAATCAAAATGAAAAGAAACAGAAAGCCACCGCACCTCCCATCCGCTGACAGCTTGGGACACAAAGGGCTGCTCAGGAGATGAATGAAACAAGCTGCTTTCAGAAAACTCTAGTACTGATGAGATTTTTGTAGTAATTTAGCAGGTTGAATATAAAGTGTTTATCCATTTTATAGACATTCTGAAATTCAGTGGAACAAGTTCTGTGCAATATGGATAAACACCATTTACACTTAAGCTGTTAAATTATATAAAAAACTCACAAAAACTAGTTACCTAAACAGTGTTACTAGTCCCAGCTTCTCTCATTCATCTGCTGAACAGCACTTCCTGTGTCACAAATTGCGCAGCAGACTAGGCCTCCTGCTGGGAAGTAGCAGGAAAAAAGGCAGCTCCATCTGAGAGAGAGATTCAAGCACCATTCATTGTACAGAGAGAATGAAGGAGTGACAAGGATTTCTAAAGGGTGCCTAAAAAATGCATTAGCGGTATGTAGAGACTTTATAGACTTGTTTAATACCGGAGGAACAAATCTGGCAATGTCATAACAACTGGAATATAAATGTACACACAAGCTCAGAACGTTTCATTTCTATGTACTATTATACACACTTTCTAGTATCTAGAAGTGAAAATGGCTCTGAGCTGGCGTAACCCAGTGGGTTACACGAGCACATCAAATGCTGTAATAGTGACATTTTATACCTACGTGGAATTTCAATTAAAATATCTTGAGAAGCCTAAACAAAAATTCCACAATTTGAGTCCCACCAATCCTACCAAAACGAGTCTGTCTAAGGCAGAGCTCTGCATTCCACTCAGGGCCACCCCACCATGGCAAGAGCAGAAATGCGGCTGTAGGAACTGGAACTTCCATGGTCTCCTAAAGAAAAACTGGCTTCCAGCTACTGCTACATGGGTCACAGCAACACAGCAGATAGGTCTCCAGTAAACAACAACTCTTCGACAGAGAGCAGACACTGCACCTGCCAAACCCATAGAGCATTTCTGGGCATGATCTGACCTGTCAAGTGCTCAGAGTCGAAAGTCTGGGCCCAGATTCAGAGCTTGCCAGCAAAACATATTTTTGCTTCTTGAACTCATGAGCATGAATGGACACCCCATGACCCAGACTTCCAAGAGCAGACTGCACATCCCATGAATTGGGAATCCCACTTACTGAAATATTTCCATAGGCCTGAAGGATGGGGTTGACAGGAAGGGGAACCTGGAGAAAGAGAACGGGTTAGAATAAGGCAGGTACATATATACACACACACACACACACACACACACACACACACACACACACTACTAC